AATATTCCCATTTTATGGATCTTAAGGGTATCATTGTTAAAGACTGTCAAGGTGAGGACACGTGTTAGACACAAACGAGGGTGTCACTTCATGATCCTTATCTGGAGGCAGCCATAAATTAAGCCAAGGCCTGCATTCAGCTTTAGAGCTCCATTTCCCATCTCAACTGCAAAGAGTGGCCACCCAGGCCAAGGCAAGTTAACACACTTTTGCCACCATTACAGGGTCCACCACCCCCTTCAAGAAATAGCTATATTAACCCCAGTTGCTTTTTTTTTTTTTGGTTTCTGTTTAGAAATGCAACAGAAAGGGGCCAAGGTAATTGGTAAACTGGGTACATGTGCAGGATACAGCATGCTCGAGTTAGCCATGGAGAAAGTCACCTGCCACCGGAGACCGTAACGGCAGCAGGTTTGCGCAGATGCTGCGCGGTAAGCGACCCGCATGTGTGCATCGCCGCACCCGGGAGCCAGCAGCACAGTTCCGTCGGGGAGGCGCAGGCAGCTGGGGAACACGGCGCACGGGCCCCACCAGGCAACCTCTTCATCACCTTGGCCATCTTTCCTTACTTGGTTTTTTTGAAAACCACTGAATCTGGCACTGACCGTTTGTTTTTTCTATCTTAAATTTAAACCAACTGGGATGGGGGGCATAAAGATTGAGAGGAGACAGTTAAATAATTTTTAACATGGCTAATGAGTAGGGCTCCGGATTCTAACACATTTGGTGGCAAAAGCATAGCATTAACATTATAATTTTGGGATGGAACACAGATATTATGCATGATCTAGTAATATAAGGTGCTCATAGTCTTGGTTTTAATTTTCTATCACCATATTTTACTTTTTATGCTTTTGCACAGCAGATAAAACCTTGACTCAAGTTTCACGATTCACAAAGCTATTATTGTGTGTTTTAGATCGTTCTCTCGCATTTCCTAGAATTATAATGTTTCAGTTCCCTTTTTAGTATTAAAATGTACTAAAGTATTATGAAACATTTTGGGGCATCTCTCCTTGTTCTCCTCCTATGAGGAATGCTTTTAGTTGGATCACTATGTGGCTACAAAACTTAATTACTAAGAAAACAGATTCCCTCCATATGCAAGTGTGTGTATCTTCACGTGGCCGTTTTGAAATACTTAAAACAAGGAACTTTACATTTTCAGGAGGAAAAACTCACCTTAAAATGTTTTACTGTGATTATTCACATAAGTGAAAGAAAGTGTTGATATATAAAAAGAAAAGGGATTTTTTTTTTCAAATACCTAGTTCCTTGAATTACAGAGAGCTAAAGACACATTTTTATTTTAATGCAAAAAAATGGTACTTTTTCAGTTCATAAATAGTGGGTCCGTCATGTAAATGATCTGTTACAAGAACTTTAGCATCATCAATTTAAAAATATAATAACCAGACACAATCCAAAATAAAGTCTCTATTATTTTCTTTGCAAATCATCTCTGTACAAAAACTTTTCTCAATATAACTTCTTCATATCTCTCAATTTTGTTGGATGCTGATTAATAACAAGCAATTCTTTAGAGGCAATTGTGCCATTTTTCAAAGAAGCCATTTCATGTTACATGAAAATTATAGTTCTGCAATATCTTCTTGGTATGGCTTGGCTACTGCTTTAAAGGATTACAATTTGCCTTATATTTTGAACAGAACACAGATAATGGATATTAAATATGCCCAATAAGGCAGTAAAACTGTGGTTAAAGTGGATGAGAGGTTTTAAAACATCCTTGAGGGTCAAAAGCATATATGGGGAAAGTACCCATGAGGACATATAAAGAAGAAATAGCCTTAAGTACAGGCGGATCTGACCTTGGCTAAGAGGCAGGTTACAACTGGGGTACTGAAAGTCTGTACATGGAAATTTGTCCTTAGCTCAAAACTACCACATAATGAATGATCTTCCTTTAGCACTTACCTACAAAGCAACAATAAACATAAATCAAAACAAAAAGTGTGCAGTTCTTATCTAAAACAATTGAACATGGCATCTGGAAAAATCTCTGCAGTTGGTGTGGGTCCCTCAAAATAAAGCCCACTGCATTACAGAATTTGAAGGCATCATTCAGCAATAGAGTTAGCTCTTTGTCTTAGCACATAGAGTAAAATATCCCAGTCAACAAGATCCAGCCAGGTAGTTAGAGTTCTCCATTTCTCTATTTTCTCATCTATACATATAAATATATAAAGAATCACTAGCTGTATGAACAAAGTCTACAGCCCCAAAGGAGAAAATGACAAGGAAACAGAAATTCCTTGGAAGACACAATTTACAAAAGCTAACACACACAAAGCATAACCATCCCCTGAATCTATTAAAGAAATTAAACCAATTATCAAAATATTCCCATAAAAATAACTCCATTCCCAGATGGTTTTCCAACTGAATTCTTCAAAACATCTTAGGAAGAAATAATAGCAATCTTCAATAATTTTTTTCCCAAGACGAAAAGAGAGTATCTCTCTCAACTTGCTTTATAAGACTAGTCTAACATTGCTATCAACACTTCAGAGGATATTACCAAAAAATACCGACCATTTTCTGTCACAAAGATATAAAAGTCCTAACCAACATATTAAAAAACTGAATCCAGCAATTTATAAAAAGTACAAGACGTCATGACCAACAGGATTTATTCAGTAATCCCTGATTCCCAAACCAATAGCTGTAATTTACCACATTCATACAAAGAAGAAAAATCATAATCATTTTAATAAATGAACAGAAAGCATCTGAATATGTTCAATACCTATTCATAATTTAAAAAACCTTGATAAATTGGGATAAGAAGATATTTCTTAATCTGATTAAGAGGACCTACAAAAAGTCCTACTACTAACATCATATTTAATGATAAATTATTCTGACAGCTTTTCTCCTGAGACAGGGAATGAGTCAATTATCACCACTTCCATTAAACATTGCTTTGGAGGTTGTAATCTACACACAAAAAATGAAAATCATAAGGATTGCAAAGAGAGAAACTATCTCTATTTGATGACATGACTGTGCACATAAAATAAATACAAGATTCTATAAACTATTAATAGGTAAATTTCACAAGAATACTAGATATGCACTTAATATACAAAAATCTATGATATTTTATATATCAGCAGCAAAGAGAAAATAAAATTTAAAATGAATCCCATTTATAATAGGATCACAATGTCAAATGTCTGGGATTCAATCTAATAAAACATGTGTAGGTCCTCTGGACTGAAAACTACTTAATATTACTAAAAAGGCATTATAGAAGACTTAAAAAAAAAATGGAGGGATTAAGATTAGATGACTCAATATCGTAAAGATGTTAACTGATCTACAAATTCAACAAAATTCCAATTAATATCCTGGCAAGCTTTAATAAAGTTGGCAAGTTGGTTCTAAAATTTATTTGGTAAACCAAAAACAACCAAAAAGAGCAAAGGCAATCTGGACTTAGAAGAACAAAGTTGGAGGGTTTACATTACCAGGGCCCAAATTTTAAAATAAAATGATTGGCTCTGGCCAGTGCGGCTCAGTTGGTTGGCTATCATCCCCATGCACCAAAAGGTTGCTGGTTTGAATCCCAGTCAGGGCATACATCCCGGTTATAGGCTTGATCCCCAGTAGGGGGCGTGCGGGAGGCAGCCTGTCAATTTCACTTTCACATTGATGTTTCTCTCTGTCTCTCTCTCCCTCTCCTTTCCTCTCTCTCTAAAAATAAAAATAAAAAATCTTAAAAAAAACAACTGTACACACACACACACACACTGGAATATTACTCAGTCATAAAAAGTAATGAAGTTCTGATACATGGTACAACATGGATGAGCCTTGACAATGTTACGTTAAGTGAAATAATCTAGACATGAAGAGACAAATGGTATATACGAGTCCACTAATATGAAATATATAGAATAGGTGCGTTCATAGAGATAGAACGTAGGTTAGAGGTTACTTTGGGGGAATTCTTGCTTAATGGTTACAGAATTTCTTTTTGGGGTGATGAAAAAGTTATGGAAAAAGGTGATGGTGACACATTGTGAATGTAATAAATGACACTGCATTGTACACATAAAATCACTAAAATGACAAATGTTATATATGTTTCACCACCATTTAATAAATAAATATACCTAAACCATTACATTGAACACTTCAAAATGAGTGTGTTATATGGTATATGAATTATATCTCAATAAAGCTGTTACAAAGTGATTGTTACTAAGCCAGTGTAGTAATGTAAGAGAACAGAGAATCCAGAGCAGACTCACATACATGCTTCCTTGCCTTAACAAAGCTGCCGCGGCGGTGCCATGGGGAAGGATCGTCTTGTGATAAACGGTGATAAATTAACTGATGCTGCCTTTCATTATGCACTCATTCATATGTGCCACATGGTTTTAAAGAGTAAGTGTGCATTACTTTGATAAACATACTAAATATTAGATTTAAAAAGTATCCGAGGTAGGAAGAAAAGGACTCAAAGTTAAGTAAGTAAATAAGTAAATAATGAAATAATAAACAAACAAACAAACAAAACAAACACCTTTTGGGGAAGATGAGCATCAATTTAACATTGATTAAGTCTATACCATACGTAAGGATAAGTAATTTTGATTTCTGATCCGTGTCGAACAGGACCACCTCTACCTGGCTGAAACACTGTCAATATATAGCTGAACACTAAATTAATTAGTCCATCCCTTTTCCAGTCTCATTCTTTAGAATAATTCATGCAAAGTAATAATGTTGTATATTCTGGCATTTAATTATTAATGTACCATCATCCACTATCACCATTCTTTCTATCCACAACAAAATCATGCGGCCAAATCAAATGGTCAGGTTAAGAAAAACACACACAACTAAAAGCAATCCACCTACAAGCCTCCCATCCCCAACCCCACCCATAAAACTGCAATGAAAAAAACACAAATGCAGACACTTGCGACATTTAACACATGGGGCAGGGGAGATGGTTAATGTCTAACCTTTATCCACTGAAGATTTGTCTGCTTGAGCTTGTTTTCAAGTTTGTCTTGCTCTTCTGGGCTTAGGGGAGCACTGACAAGCACTGTTCCTCCTGTTTCGTTTAATTGCTTTAGAATTCCCTGGCGCAGGGGCAACTCTTCCACGAGTAACTGAAACAGACAAATGCAACAACTCTTAAAATGAATTACAGCGCAGTGCCAACTACCTTGTCTTTGCCTCTATTGATTAATCTATCAAAACGAAGCGACTTGACCAAAGGCCCACCGGTACCTCAAATACCAACGGTTTCTGCAGAGCGCACAGCTGATAGACTGAAACACTCACTCCCAGGTAGATAAACCTACCCTAGGAAGGACCAGGATATCTCACCCTCAGAGGTTTTTGTCTTTTTTCCCCAAGAGAAAAATGTCATGTGGTGTCAGCTCTAAAACAACACGCCAAATAGAGTTTAGAGTCTAACAACACATCTCTATCAGCAATAGAACAATCTGGATAAATTCATCACTAAGCCCCCATGTTCTAACATACTACTGATACCGAATTTCATTATCATATACTAATTACTAATTAACACTGAGAACATGCCAGGTCCAAGCACTGTGCTAAGCTCTTTACATATATTATCTGTTAATTTAAAAAAAAAAAA